CCTTCCTCCTCTATTAGGAATCGCCATGTGTGACTACCATATCGCTCATCCAGCAGCACTGTCTTCTGAAAAATAACGCCATGTAATCCTGCAGAACTGAAGTGGTACGCTTTGCAATCAAGGGGCCGGGGTAGCGCAGTCGGTACAGCAGCTGGCTACAGGCTGGAAGGCTGAGGGGTTGGAGTTCGAGTCCCGGTAGGATCAAGAATGTTCTCTTCTCCACGTCGCTCAGACCGGCTCTGGGGTTCACTCAACCTCCTATCCAATATGTATTGGGGGCTCTTTCCCCGGGGGAAAGCGGCCGGGGCGTGAACGCGATCACTCGCCTTCAACTAGTTCCGAGGTCAATAAAATGTGGATTTATACATTCACTTGCCCATACGGCTTCATGGCGCAGTGCTGAATTAATTAAGCACGGGGACAACTTTACCTTTTACCTTTTCACGCTTCATAATCATTGCTGAGGTAGCCTCAGATTGAACATACCATTCATTTCTGGATCAATAATAAACTCCCTGGTTAAGTGCCTCGCAATTCATATTACTGCATGAGAATACGAGGGAAGCGCGTACTGAAGTGCCACAGTAGGAGCGCGTAGGCATGCCTGAGTATTCCGGACGTCAACACCAAAATGTACTTTAACACCTTCTCCGCCCCTCCTCTCGACATACTTGTGAGTGCTCTCACTGGAACTTCAAGCGTCTTTCTGGGTAAGCGTTGGCGGTGAAAGGGGGAGAAAACTAAAGGAAGAAAAACCAAGGAACTGTTGAAACCAAACAGGAACCAGTAACGGCAGGTGACAGGACTACTTACAGGAAACTGTCACCTGGAAGGACGACTTATCAAAGTGGGATTAAACAACAATCCAATTTGTGAAAAGGTGCCAGAAAAAAGATGAATCAGCCACATACATCTCTTGTGGTTGTGAGGGTTACAGCTAGATTAATATTTCATTACCTGGGACACTACTTTATGGAGCCAGGTGACTACGGGGCCCCTTACGCCGTGCCACAGCTCAGGTGGTTAGTCGCCGGCTTCCCACCGCGGGGGCCCGCGGTTCGAGCCCACGTCAGCTAATGTGGGATTTGTAGTGGACATAGTAGCACTGTGGCAACTTTGTACCTCGGTTTCCCCTGGTAATTCTCATTCCACCAACTACTCCATATTCATTATTCATCATTCTGGGCTGGTACAATAGGCCGGAGAGTGGCCGACGTAGCAAATCTCAGTCAACACCAAGAAACTAGAAAAAAATGCTCCTTACGTAATATACTACACTTCTTTCAAATTGTAGCATTGTTGAAAGACTGAAATAGACCAATAGATCACTGAAGGTCGCGGTTCAAGGGCCGGTCAAGGCCTGCCCCTTTATTTATTCCTTCATTCAAGGGTAAAGATAAACAAGGTAATATCGTGAAGGAGTCACACATGGCATATTACAAAATGATTTGGGGGTAAGAACTGTACTGTATACGTGAACAATGGATAATGTGCGAATCCTGAACCTTATGATGCGAATGAGTGGGAGCAAGGCTAAATGCGTGACATGTATTTACGATGTTGTCCTGAATTCGTTCTATACGCCACACAGTAAATTACGATCAGAAGATAATTCAAAGTAACAAGACTGTTGAACTCCGGGTTACGAACCTACATACATAGCCACTGACCCCATGAAGCATCATTCTTTTTGAGAAAGTGACGGTGGCTCATCTGATTAAGAAAATTCCAACATTTTATGAAATCCGAAGGTCTATTATGGTGTTCATATCAGCCTGTCACCGGTTCTGAACCAAACCAATCCAGTTCACAATCGTACAATCAATTTCCTCATTAACCATCTGAATTTTATCCTCTTACCTATAGCGCAGTCGGTATGGTGATTAGCTACGAGCTGGACGACCGAGCGGTCGGAGTTCGAGTCCCGGTATGGTCAAGAATGTTCATTTCTCCATGTCGTCCAGACTGGCTCTGGGGTTCACTCAACCTCCTACACAATGGGTACCGGGGGGCTCTTTCCCGGATGTAAAGCGGCCCGGGCGTGAAGCTGACCACTCGCCTCCAACTAGTGCCGAGGTCAAGAAAATATCGATCTATACATCCACTCCCCCCATACTCCTTCACGGTGTAGTGCTTAATTAATTAAGCACAGGGACAACTTTATCTTTATGTATGTCGATTTATCCCAAGTTGTCCCTTTAGATCTTTCGACGGAAACTGTGTTTTCAGTCCGTGCTGCATGTCCCGACCATCACAATCGCCTCAACTTCATTACCCGAGTAGTATCTGGTATAAAATGTGAAAGTCGACATTATGAAACGGTCCTAATATTCAGCTCAACACCCTCTTCTTAAATCCAGTCAGTCTATTTACGAAAGGCAAAGTTTGGTACTCGTGTGAAGGAAACGTGTAAAATTTCAGTACTTTCACATAGGAAGCACAAATGCGAAAGATTCCGAATTGAACTTTAGCAATCATTTCCCATATTTCATCCTTAACGTACTCGTAAACGTATGCATTCATTCTGAGGTTAGATTAAATACGGGTGCCTCACAATTAACAGAGTGCATCCTTAAGACAGCCGGTCACGACAGTCAAGTGGTCTAAGGCATGTATTGTCTTCGCTCGCTCGGAAGCCGGGGTCCTCGGTTCGAATCCCACACAAGGCATGGGTGTTTGGTGTGTGTATGCGTTTATTCTGTGTCTGTGTTGTCCTGTGTTTAGGTAGAGGCCTTGCGACAAGCTGATCACCCGTCCAAGGAGTCGTACCATCTGTAAAATGATCATGAAACTGAGGAATCGGCCTTATGCTCCAAAGTGAAAGCAAGAGGAGAGAAAAAATCCTTAAGACAACAATGGATCCAGTACATAGCTCGATACTGTGTTCATATCAAATCTCTCCAGGGCAGCGGGTATTTTAAGTGACGGCATTCGTGGTCTTCCTGAGGCAAGGGACGGGGTAGTACCTCGATCAGGCCATGATCGCTTACTTCCAAACAGTTTACAGTTCATTATTCATCAATCATCCGACCACTGGACGTTCATGGCCTCAGATGCTGACAGCGTCGTAGCGTGCATCATAGACATGAGTATCGGTGTCTGGCGCCTTCACACATCGCTTTAGTACTGTGAGAACACAGTGATGAGAAGAATATTTGGATGAAACAACAGGAAGCTACAGAGAACTACACATGGAGGAACTTCATAGGTTGCACTATCAGATGAAGACAATGACTATTAGGGTGGCAGGGCATGTAGCACATATGGGAAAGAAAATTAAAAGCATACAGGGTTTTGTGAGAAAGAAAGAGACCACCGGAAAGACATGGACATAGAGCGGATATAATATTAAAATCTATCTTAGAGGAATAGGATGGCGGTATTGACTGGATTCGTCTGGCTCACGATAGAGACCCGTGGCGGGCTGTTGTGAACACGGTAATGAACTTTCGGGTCCCTTCAAATGTTGTGATTTTCTTGAGCGGCTGAGCGACTGTCGGGTTCTCAATAAGGACTCGACACCATGGAGTTAGTTAGTTAGTTAGTTAGTTAGTTAGTTAGTTAGTCGGTTAGTTTGCTGGTTAGCCAAATCAGTTAGTTATCCAGCCAGTTACTTTGTTGGTCAGTTGTTTGTTTGCTTGTTATGTCAGTTTGCTTGTTGGTCGGTCAATTTGTTTCTTGGTTGGCTGGTCATCTTGTTTGTTAGTTCTGCACGTGAGACCGGCTAGTCACGCGTGAATAAAACTGGGAAAAGAAGTAAATTTCATAACAGCTAATCTACAAAAAAAAAAGTGAAATAAGCCAGCCGTTGCTATGAAAAAGACGAATCAACAGGCGTCCACTGGTAGGCAACGGCTGGGCAAACAAGTTCCCGCGCCAACGAATATGCAAGCAAAAATTGAGGTATCGTTGTTCTATAACGACCGAAACGATGTTTTCTGTTGGATCCGCCTCGAGGCTGTATAACGAAGATCCAAGACCGGCTGAGATAGAATTGAGACAATCTCTTGAGATGGCAGTCGATGATGAGTGAGCAGAGACGGTAATGAGTCAATTGAGTGTTAGCTGAGGGCAAGAGTGCGGCAGAGAAAAAGCTTCCTGTGTTCTGCAGTTACAGTGAGACTTATGAGATCCGTTGCCAGGATACGACTAGTGAAGACTGAGACCCTTAGCGTGTGTAAAGGCGAACTGTAAAGTATGTAGATCAGCGACAGCGCTATATTACTTGCAGTTATGAGTGCTGTCAATAAATTCCATCATCCAATCCAAAAGTAAAGGTAAAGTTTCCCTTTGCTTAACTAATTAAGCACTACGCCATGAAGACGAATGGGGGAGTGGATGTATAGACCCACGTTTCCTTGACCTAGGCACTACATTGAGGTGAGTGATCAGCTTCACGGCCCGGCATCTTTACCCCCGGGGAAAGATCTCCCGGTGTCCACTGGATAGGCTGAGTGGGCATGAGAGGCGGTCTGGACGACATATAGAAATGAAAATGTTTGCCCCCAACGATACTCGAACTCCGACCCCTTGGTCCTCCCCACCGTAGCCAGTTGCTATACCGACTGCGCTACACCGGCTTCTCATCCAATCCAAACCCCGTCTAATAGTCACACACCCCACATACTACGTGACAGTATGTTGCTGCTGACACTATACTCGTGTGAACACGTTCAGGCAAAGCGGCGCGGACTACAGGAAACTTGTCATGGAATGAAACGCTGGGATTTAACAAAAGAGTTTCCTTCTGAGCTAATCAGTCGCCACCGGCGGCACGGTTCCATAACATGTTGTTCGCTTACCATGTGTCTTCGCTGCTTGATACCAACTGGCTGGGAGGCCCCCGTGGCTACTGACCACCTCTGCTTGTTGATTTTCACCGACAAGCCGCTGTGAGCGCCACGTGCCGTATCTCTGCGCCGTCGCGACGCTCGTATCGTCCTACTCACCCCCAAAACCGTCTCTACAGCAGACCCAAAGTAATAAAGAGCGGGCGTCAGGGAAGTAGAAGATCAGTACAGTGGTAGCTGTGGACAAGTCACATTGTGACCTCTGATCAGCGTTCTTACCAAGAGCGTCAACAAGCAAACGGCTGACAACTTAGCTGCGTCGGGTTACTCCCCCTGTGCCAACTTCTGACACTGTCAGACACAGGTGAGTACAAAGCTTCTTGCTACTGTCACACAGCACAGAAATTATTGTGCCTATCTCAAGTTGCAAGCTGAACGCGCACATTAATAAATCGTGTTTATAGAAGTCATAGTTAATTTATTCGCTCCGGTATTTTGAAACAGTGCATTATTAAAAACGTTTTCTTAACAAAAATTTATTTAATAATACCCTGAAAATTATTAATAATATTAAAATTATAAACACAAGTTCTTAAACATACTTCAATTTTCGGACGTCAAAAATATATACGTAAATATAAGAATACTCGTATAATATCATGTCCTTCATATACAAGATTTTTTAAAACTGTGATATTTTTATGTACGCTGAATTGTGGGGTATGTATCTGTAAAAGAATCACTCCTTTGTGGAAAAACGCTCTTTTAGAAATGGTAGAAGACCAGGTAACTAAATAAACTGTTACAGTTGTGGAAGCCATGAATCTAGTTGACTGAACATCATTCTATTCTCCACAGCTGTATCCTAAACACAAAATTTAAGTGTAATTTATTACTGGCGTCAACATGAATACGGGGTCACCTGTCATGCATTGAAAACTGTGTCTCTCAACTCATCCATGAAATATTACATACAAAACAAATATTCTAACATTTAAACTACTTTATGTGTCTCATGTTGGCTTTTGCTCTATAAATGATGTATGCTGTATCCACACCGGTTATCAGTAACGCAATTAGAAATTATTCCTTTCATAATAAACGGAGCACCACTAATTCGGGGATCAATATCTTATTTTACATGTGACATGTTTACTTGTGATATAAGTGCATGTTTTATCCTGCCTGACAACAGAGAAAGGAACTGACAAATCCAGACGCACTTCCGTGTGGTCCACATCAATGTTTATTGCAGTTTATTGGGAAAGATTTAAAATAATCGTCATATATAACCAGTTATGAAAAAAAGATAAAGAATATGCAGTAGATGCCGTTTTCATGAACATCAGATTTTGTTAAATTATGTTTAAACATTTATACGTATATTCTGCATAAAAAGAGATACAATATGCGGAGATGTATAGTTTGAACATTAGTTCACTACAGACAAGAATATAGCAAGAATTCAAATTTATCTTAATCCCTAAAATGTGACAGCTGAAATAAGTAATATTCCAATTTTACGCCCAAAACTACTTGTGGGTAAACGAAAAGTACCTTTATGACATAAGCCAATATGATTTACTTTAAGAGGGTTTATTATGTCAGAAATATTTTCCGGTGACCTCCATATTTACTGAATTATGCTTAAGAATGCAAGCGGATGTTAAAACCAAATGGTCCGCTTTAAGCCAAAATCAAATTCTGTGAATAATTTTATATGTCATCTTTTTTACAAAATTTCATCTGTATCAGAGAAAGAGTTCATTTATTAAAGACGGGACAGCGATAAACAGGTAGCATATAAGCTACTATGTAATTGCTTTGTGTACGTAATTCACAAATATCTTGGAACTGGACTCAGTAAATTTTATCTGGACAAGCCAGAACAGACGCATGATTCTTGGTATGTGAATGGTGTTCGATCGCGGTTTCTGTGATGTATTATATTAAACATAAAAAAACACGTATATATCTGTTTTGTTATATATTTGTGTGGCTCGGATAAAACTCCAGGGTCAAACTCCCAAATTAAACACATTTCAATAAAGTCAAAGATTGTAAGTTTTGAGGTTTTCACGGCGATGACTATGAAGAAAGTCAAAAGATTATTTCCCACTCATGTATTATACTCGTGCATAATCTACAGAATCTGCAATAAATGTATATGTTCATTAAGTACCGGCTCGCGAATGAGTTATGCCCAGTGGCGTAATTCATATGCACATTGGAGTCTATGCAGTCTGAATCTGGAAAGAATTGTTAACAAACTCCACTGTCTGTGTTCCACTTCTGGCATTTCCTTACTCCCTCTCTATGAGAATTTCTGCTAAAGTTTCTGTCGATTAATCGGGAATATCAGAGTACATATGGAAGGATGAAATGGATATAACATCCATTTGTCGGCTTTCAAGTTGACAAGCAAATAGCACAGAGAGCACTCAATCATTATCTGACAGTTCATCTTGACAGTATGACAGAATGTAACTACGACTTTCCTCACTTCAAGTTGCATTCTAAAATATACAGCTGAAACTTTAAAAGTCAACTTACAAGATGAAATCGAGTCTTAATCCATGCTTCTCCCATTCAGATGAAATATATCCTGTGTCCCAACAGACGAAGTAGCTGTTGGAATTGATATTAAGTAGCAAGTGCTTGCTATTTTCTTTTATGCCATTAAGAACCTTTGTTTTACATACGTATAAAGCAGTCTTTGTGGCTCCAGATTTCGAAAGTATTGCTAATAATATCTACAATTTATCCTTATTAATTTATTCCTTCTCCCCCTCCCTATGCACACAGAAGCGTCTAGCGGGCGACACCGCCTCCTTGGCAAAAGTGCTACAATGCAAGCGAAGGAGCCAAGACGCAAGTTTATGTTAATATCTACGACTGTTTTCGCCAAAAATGCCAGTTGGAGGGCCAAATAATTTGTTTCGATTATCAGAGCAGTATGGATTGCGGATTACAGAATATGCCATATATTTGGCTCACAGCCAATATAACATAAGATAAATCATCCTTAATTTACCCCCTCCCTGCCTTTAGTTTCATTGGTAACATTTCTAAAATGCAACCTTTTTTTGTGTCTAGACTTCCTTCTCAAAACACAAAGTTTCTTTTATATATATACCCCCAGAATCTGATCGCCAGAAAATCTGCTGACACCATGTTAGCAAGAGCTTTCAGAAAGAAAATGACAAGATATGAATTTGCAACATCTTCCTATCAGAATTCTTACAGTTCACCGTACACTGCGACACAATTTTACATTCACTTTATTAATACTGCGTATCCATGTAATCTAACAAATATCGCTTTGCCTAAAACCATACTCATTTCCTTCTGTTCTGAAAAAGACGCACGTTTCGATGTGTCGATAACAATATAATCTACAGCAACCAGTGAAAGTTCTATGAAAAAAAAATATATCTTTAATATATTAACCACAAATTTAGTGATGTATATAAAATGGCACTAACCAAATTTCTTGTACCAGTAAAAATATTCTTCCACGGCTTTCTTACACTTCGAACATACTGTCACGATTGAGTGACTATTAGACGGGGTGTGAATTGCATGTTTGGATTTATTGCATTTATACGCTTAACTCGTAATTACAAGTAATACAACACTATGGCTAATCTCCGCACTTTACATTTCACTGCTGCAAACACTAGTCTTCTCAGTCTGTTTTCACTAGTCCTTTCATAGTAACGGATGTCAACATAGGAGATTATAACAGTTTATACAGTCTTTTCTTCACGACCAGACGTCAAACTCAACTCAGCTGCAGAGAGTAACTATTATACCCCAATTCAATTCCATATCTCGATTCCTCTGCTCCCAAGTTCACATTCTGGTAGGCTGGCGTCTCGAAGCTCAACTGACCTTCTCAATTAAATCAGCTGGCCTGGGGTCCTCGTTATATAGCCTCGGATCTGATCCAACAGAAAACACCGTTTCATAACAATCCCTCCATTGTTGCTTGCGTATTCGTTGTAGCGGAACGTCTTTACTCTGGGTCCACTATTGCGTCGTCATGACACAATATTCTACGTTTCGTAATTCGTGTCACAGATGTTCCTAGTAAGGCTAAAGATTTTCGCCATGGATGTGCTGTAATCATTGGAAATAACTCAGCTCCCTTTCGCAACAGGGAATTGAGTAAGCGCAGATTACTGAACAAAGTCCGGTGGTCAGGATGTCACGAACTTCTAAACTAAATTTTCTCCCTTGCAGTTTGTGACCACACACGGAAGAAAGGGGAAAAAGTCAATTATATTATTTCGTCCTAAACCGAAAACTTGTTCACGAAATTAAATTCGTTACTAAGCCGAGAAACAATAAAAAAACGCGTAACATCCATTACGACATCCCTGAGTTATATTTCGTTCTAAGAAGTAACATAAAATTAAACAATAGTTTATTGTCTTACATGTTAATAATGACTCCATTAATACTAGTTACGGGTTCCAGCTTAGGAAGTCCATTCATTTGCAGCACTCATGAGCCCGTCGAATTCCTCCATTAAGGGAACTAGCACCAAGAAGTACAGAGCAGTGTTACTAACGAGGGCTGAGGAATGTCACCACACACAATCAGCTTTCAGAGCTATGGCGTACTTATCTCCTAACGATGGGTTCGAAGACCTCATAGCCACAGAACAAACCCTTCAGAGAAGATGGTGGCTGAACGTAAAAACGAAGTCTTTAAAAGGAACAGAACAAAACAGGATCCACTATAGTTTTCATGCTGATCAACACACGATGGTTACCATATGAGCCAGTTACTTTTGCAGCAATCGTTAACAGTTACTCGCATTTCTAGCATTATAAGGCCAGGTCAGGAACTTCTGGGAAGAACTAATCGCCTACTTTCCTTTGATAGGACATGAATTCTTCTATGGTTGCGTGTATTCTTTACTGCGGGAATGTTTACTGAGCCTGATGTTTACATCAGGGAGGATACAAATACAGACACACAGACTGATGGGTGTGGTTTATAAATTACACGGCTGAAATGGGCTCAGGTGCCATGATATATATATATATATATATACTAAGTTTCATAAAGACTGGTTCAGGCATTCAAAAGTTGATAGGGAGGAATGAACAGAGAAATAAGCAGACGGCATGGTAATCTCACAAGACTACTTTATTTTTTAAATATGAAAGTAGGCTAAAATGCTGGCACAGTCTGAGACACAAAACAATCAGATTCCCATGTTTTACGTTCTCACACAGTATAAATTTGTTGGATACGAGGTTGTAATAAAGGTGACTATGAAGAGGGCGGTCTTCGAGCTAAAACTCGTTGCAGTTAGGAGAAAGGTCAAAGTTTGTTACGAATATATGGCCTCCATCTTCACGGTCAAAGATTAAACCAGCAGAAGCAGGCGGAAATCAAATCGTGAGCCACAAAGCGATAATTGGTGAAGCGACCACAAACCATAAAAATTACGAACTGAAACACACCCGCAAAGAAATTATTTTTTTATTATTAGTGGGATGGGACTAAGTCCCTTGTACTGCGGCCCAGATGATAGGTGAGGGTGACTGTGGAGCAATTGGTGGAATGAAGATTGGCAGGGGAAACCAAAGTGCTCGGAGAAAACCTACCCCAGCGCCACTTTGTCCACCACAAATTCCACAAATTTTACAATAAATTTAAGAAAAAATTAAATGATTTTGAATTAATTTTAACAGAAAGTGAATTACAGCGTATGGTAATTTAACTGGTGAGAGCCAGATTGTGAAGCCAACATTTAAAACCGTGAGATACTGCAGTTACATGTGAAGTGAATGAGTGACGTTCAATACAGTATAAGAGCTTTGGCAAATGAAGACACCTGATGATGGCCCGTTGGGGCCGAAACATCTTCTGAACGGGAAAGTGAAAGGCAAAGAATAAAAACTGCTGCACTGTTGACGGAACTGCAATTGAAACCGAGACGCCATAGATGCACTCAGTTGAGTTCCGTTCAAGCCATAATCCAGTTCTTTTTCCTTTCTGTTCAATTCTCTCGTATGCCACAGACATCCAGCTTTCCTGTGAAAAGACTGCGATACCAGTTCTGCCTGATTTAAATTTGCATGCAGAAAAGCAGCCAAGGTCCTTCAAGACTGCTAAGTACACATAACACGTGACAGACACTTAAAATAACATACTTTAGATCCATATATCCACTGCTTTACATTTAACGTGAACGTATTGACGCCATAAAGCACTTCTAGGTTCTTACACATGGCGACATACTTAAGGATCCTCGCATCAGCCTGTATGTGGTGCCATGCATAGCATCTGCATGTTGCTACTTTTGATCCATTGCATAGTATTAGTCATGTGTTTCCGTACATATGCATGTGCATTGCTAGAAGACATACCCACCACTTATTCCAATAACACGGATTACTTGCGAAAGAGAGAGCGAGAGGGTTATATACAGCCGTTTCCACTGACCTATAATAAGTAAAGTGTTCCGCTGACAGTATAAATACTGGAGTCTGGCACTGTGAGTAGCACATGGCATGTGGTGTATGGACTCAAGAAATGGCAAATGTTAATCGTCGGGCTTAAAATTCGAATGGCCTTTCCGGAAAAACAAGAAGTACTGACGTCATATCAGGACATTTGAGGAACTCATGGACCACAACTGATTACAATTCTTTTTCTTTATTCTTGCGGTGCAGTGAGATGCGTGCCTTGGTGCTTCTACCGTAAACGAGCCTATTGTACCGGCCCCGGATAACAGATGAGAAAATGGAAAATTAGTGGAACCATAACTGACAAGAGAAAACCTATGTACTCGGAGAAAACGCGAGCACCAACTTTCATAATTCGTTCACCACAAATCCCATATTGAAAGCTCTTGGATTGAATCCGAGCCTCAGTAGTAATAAACCGGCGACGGCCTGCCTGAGACATGGCATGGCTGAGCGTAGTATTGACTCCCAGTCTTGCTAAGTGCCTGCATATAGATACTGTGTCAATAACAGTACAAAAGTATCAAGTGTACATATCAATAGAATTAATAAACGCATAGCACGTGTATTAGGTTCATATACGCATATTATATACAATACCAAACAACAATACATGCTGACACACAGTCATCTGTTGAGTAATCACACTCGTACTTCATAACGACTATAAATTTAGGCGCTGATCACGGTTGCCGCGACGTCTGAGGCATGAAATGTCTTCGCTCGCTCGAAAACTGAGACCGTGGGTTCGAATCCAACTCGAGGCATGGATGTCTGTTTATGCGTTTATTCTGCGTTTGTGTTGTTCGGTGCGTAGGTAGAGGCCTTGCGACGGGCTGATCCCCCGTTCAGACTGTGTATGGGATTAAGAAACTGAAAAGGCGGCCACAGAAACAGAGAGAACTTTAACTTTACTTATTAATACCATCAGAAAGAAGAACACCTGAATACCTGCATGAATTGACACACCTAAATCTATCTTGAGTTTGTAACATGGAAATAAATGATCGCCTATAATGTGAACAATTCCAGAAATACACAGACCTCTTCGCGAAAGAAGTAGGTCTCGCTACCATGACCTTGATACGCCCCTTGCTAGCTGAACGTCTTGCAACGAAAATGAAACATAAGCGAAATGTGTGGATACATTTGCAGTACTGCTTCAAGATTCATGTAATAACTGATCCCTTACGCTGGTCACAGACAGGCGACTTTCAGTTTCATACTAACAAGTCAGAGAATTGTAAATCAATAAATCCTTTAAGAAAAACATGAATGAATGAATGAATGAATGAATGAATGTATAAAGGTTGGGCCTTCTCGGCTCTTGCACCACGACCTACAGTGGTCTATTGATAGTGCTGGAAAATCTAACCTTCCCAGATCTGACAGACTGTGCGTTGCGAGTGACTCTCTCTAATGAAGGCATGTATTCAACTGCTCGTTTTCTGCTTTAGAATTAACGGTAAAATTGAAATTAAATTAAATTAAAGGTGAAAGAATGGTTAACTGCAGACAACTCGACCCATTCTACCAATGTGTACAGAAGTGATGTTCACCGAAATGGGCAACAGGTATAATCAGCTGATTTAATTGTGCTGGACAGCAGTGTGCATTCCCAGGAGCTGAACACAGTTCCCACGCAAACTTTAATTACGGTGAATTGAAAATGGCATCCAACCCCGATATAAAGGTGGAAAATTTTAAAGCATAAATTAAAATCTGCGCACTTCTAACAGATGTTAAAGAGTGGAAAAGTTCGTTGCTGACAAAACCTACTGCTTCATCTCCCGGCAATGCGTAAAGTAGAAAAACAATATCACGTAAGCATGATTCATACCTTCTGAGCAACACTTCGAACCAACCATGGCTGTATATACTCACTAACGTTCCTCTTCAGGCTGAACTGTTATCGAGAGGAGAAAAACAAGCTGAAGCAGCATAAACTACGAACTATATTTTAATAACTGCACTAAGAAAGGGTGTAGCAACCATGAGTCCAAGCCACTCCCCCAGTACTGTCAGAACGTACGAGTTAGCCAGTGAAATACAACTTATTTTCGTTTATTTTCAGTGGTTCTCCTCCTCTGTATACACCCAAAATCATAAACACGAAGACCGAAGTGAAGACAAATATGCCCCGAGTACGCATCGCCGTCCTGGGGAAAATCAACGTGGGCAAATCAGGTAGGTACTGAACATCCTGGTAGCAATGATAGCTAAATGGGCTAAGTGAAGTGTAAATATTGTATTATCTCACGAGTCTCGGAGTAGTTAAAGAGTCGGCACACTCTGTTGGAGTGAAGCAATACAATATAATGAGGAAGGAACATATTGTACATTCTTCCAAAAGCGAGATCTCGGGTTTATTGCCTTTCTCCATTACTAAATAAGAAATTTGCTTCATTTATAAACTATGCAGTAATAGAAGAATACCGTCTTCTGGAATCTGGCGGCGTGTAGATCTTGTGTGAACCAAAGTTTCGAAGGAACGTATCGCCTCCATCTTCAGGGTAGAAAAATTTGCGAGCGAGAAACCAGCTAGAGCAGGTGCCTGCTACCTACCATGAAGATGGAGGCGATACGTTTCTCCGATATGTCGGTTCACAGAAGATCTATACGGCGCCACATCCCAGAAGACGGCATTCTTCATAGTCACTGTCGTGTAACCTCAAATCTTACATATGTAGTAAAGAATAATAAGACCATCTACCAGGAGAGAAAATCCGTTACGTATGTGTGCCATACGTGCGAGCACACTTCCTTATTTCGAAATAATCTCGATACAGTTGCCCATGGGCGCTTGAGATTGCTATATTATGGCATTAACTTACTGCCGGCAACTGCAGAAAACTTTGGGGATAAGGACGCAGTAACATTATGAGCGAATCTGGCTATGGTGCAGCCATACTTAGATAGTGGTTATGCGATTTCAGCTTGGCGGTTACAACAATACAAAACCAGCTCATATCCTAAACGAAGTAGTTAACCTAAAATACGAAGCAAGCCCCTTTCAGCCTTGTAATGTGAATTAAACTCATACGCAATTACAGATCAAACGAAAAACAGTGAGAATTTCGCAAAGTAACATTATCTCTGAAGTTTTTCCCCCCTTAACACTACAGCCCCAGTGGGCCTAGGCCTACCTCCATGAACTTCTCCGTTCACTTTGTTTTTTTTCTAGATCTTACACATTCGGTAGGACTCCTTGGGCGGGTGTTCAGCTCGTCACAAACACAGAAAAACGCACACAAACAAACTAAACACCCATGCCCTGAGTGGGATTCGAACCCACGATCCCGGTTTCCAAGCGAGCGAAAGGCAGTACATGCCTTAGACCGCTCGGCTACCGTGACCGGCATCTCTCAAGTTTAACAAAGAAAATAAACACTTGGAAAATGCCATGTTCTTCGTTGTTCTCCCACATTAAGGAACAACACAAATTTAGGGGGGGATAGCAACAGGCTGCTGATGACAATAATTCGATCTAAGTAGAATGGAGTGTGAGAAGCTGACGATAATTTCATAATGCCTGGGAGGCTTAAGTATAGATGGGAGAACTATTAAAATGAAGCTTAAAGAATTAGGATGGATCTCTGTGAACTATATTCATTTGGCTGGAGATAAGGGCATGACAATGAACTTCCACGTTTTATATGAGAAAGGGGGAAGAAATTTTTTTACAAGCTGAGTGAATGTTGACGTCTCAAGAAACACTCCGGGGAATGGCCTCAGTTACTTTTACACTAATATGTTTCATTTAAGTGATTACCTGCATCCATCTTATTTCTTTTCACACTCGGTCAATTAATAATTAAAGGGCAAAACTGTCCTTGTGCTTAACTAAACATCACGCCATTAAGATGTATGGGAGAGTATGGAAGAGCAGAGGTATAGCTCCACACTTTCTCAACCTCTGTACTAAATGTAAGCGAGTGGTTAGTATCTTGTCCCAGTCGCTTTATCTCCGAGGAAAAAGACCACGGTACCCACTTGATAATGGTGGTCCCCAGAGTCGAAAACTACACAGGCTTACTTTTACCTGGCCTCGACGAATTTATACACGGATACATGTTCTCGTCGTTCAAATATTAGCCAACTAATTGCTTCAGTGCTGGCACTGTTTAACAAAGTACTCTGCCTTTGAGGTCAAAAATATCTTTTCGCGCTTACTGATTTATAAAAATCTGTAAAAATGAGTACTCTATACATTACATAGCATATGTGTGCCGTAATGCTTCGCCTTGCTAGAAACTGTGCGACCACAAGAGTTAGTTAAATCTGAATAGGGCATATTAAAGTGAACATCACTGATCACTTGAGCCAGACAATGTAAGAGCATACTCCCTTCATTCTTAGCCACACGCTCTGACTCATCCTACTATGTTCGCCAAAATCTTAGAACAAGAATATCCCACTGCCTTATGCCACTGCTTTGCTGACAAGAAAACCTGACTAAAGCCTCATTTCAAGAGGTGAGTTCTACACTGTACTTATTCATTTTCCAGACAATATAAGCATTCGTTCTTCTTTAACCCCTTAAAGCCTTGAAACATTCTGTTGTGACCGACTGTTATCCGGCCTGCCTGTCTTGGTGCCAACCCCCGTTTTGGGCACAAGACCAGATTTTTGTTACTGTCAGACAGATGTGGGTTTGTTCATACGGAGCGCCCCCTCTAAAGAAAGGATGGGTCTGTCGTTTACAATTGATGCAGGCCCTCCCCAGCGTAGTCATTCTCAGGTCCGAGTCCCACTGGACTCATGACCATATTTTATGGTCTCAGATTCGAGACTCCCCCAAACCTGGAGGACCAGCTCCCCGTATTTATAACACCCAGGAACATGATAGCCCAACCATACCCCCAAGCACTAGGTTCCCTTTCCGTCGCGTCCTACGACTCGCACGGCTACGGTGAAGGTATTCGAACCCGCTTACACACGGGCTTTCCTTAAAGCCGTAGTTTCCTCCATATAACATACAAAAGTTCAGTTCGTACCTCACAGGGAAGGCATTACTTCTCCGCTACGAAAATCAGCCGGTTAATGATGTTTACGGAACGAGTCGCTGTTTATTCTAAGAACCAAACGAAACACACAAATACACTGTGTGGGTAGTGATGCATATAGAAGCATTGGACTTTAAAGGGTTAATGTGATGTACAGCAGTATCTGTCAAATTAACGTGGGCTTTATGTTAGTAGTACCGTATGTTTATGGATAATATATAAGATAAGTTATTTATTAAGTTGCGTTACTACGTCACTAAACATGGCATTCTGCAAAACCGTAAGATTTCAAATAATTACCAGCTACATATATGAAATAACATAATAATTTCCTCTTATTTCATTAATGCTTCAAATTATTACTCATATGAAATACTTAAAAGTGTACACTTACTTGTCTACGAGTATAGCATACAGGTCTGCATTACTTGGTCCATATATCACAAATATCGACATATAATTGCAATATTTTACAGAACTCTTTCGTGTTTCAATCGGTAACGGCAAAAATATCCCTGTAACCGGCCATACAGACCCACAGGTTTGTGAGGCCCAAACATTTTCTAGACGATCGACTCACAGATGGAGTTAAGGTTGTCAGCCTTAGGCGCCGGCCGTCCTTTACCCCCAGGAATATTCCTGGTACTCATTTCTGTTAGCAGTTGAGTTGACCCCGGGACCATAGTGAGGCTGCAAGAATTAGGTCAATTGAAAAATTCAAAGATCTCAACGGGATTCGAACCCGCGACCTTCCGGCTTATAGCATAATAGTGCCTCAACTATCTACGCTACAGCGTGCCCCCGTGTTTCCACTGTGTAAAACTAAATAAATATTCTGTTGTTATAAAACGGGGAGTCAATTAAGAATTTCGTTAACACGTTTATATTACTAATTAGAGAGCAGAAATCCAGCAAGTGTAACTAACTGAACAGGAGTAATTAAATGATGGTTAATACATGAGGAAACATATAACGGAAAACTTTTAAAAGGTGTAATGATTCAAGCTCTCTTCTGTAAACGCTTCACATTTGTCAATGTTGTCTAACGTTTACTAGCAATAAGGAAACATAGAACGTGTTAACTGCTTTCATCATCAAGGTCAGACACTGTATGATCTTCCATTTAACAAATCTAACACGGAGAAAGTTAGCTCAGGCGTTAACACTTCTTATTTGTATTCAGGTAGTACCCGGTTCGAATCTCGGCACACCAACTATCCTGAGGGTTTTCATGTTCTTGTTCAGTTTCTCCAAGCGAGTGTAGGGATATAGCACCTTGATGTAAGCCTCGGCTGCTTCCAACCACGTCCGTTCCAATTCGTTAATTGTTATTATTCTAACTTTCAACGGTACAGAGTTTCAGCCAACAACAATGTCGCTATATAAACCATAATAAATCCGACGCGAAAAATTCGCTTGGCTGATTGTTAATTCGTTGATCCTCAGGTTAAACCTATTTAGTTATGCTGTTTCAATTTCAGAGATTATACAGCGTAGAATGACTTGGTTGACGAAAATGAATAGTAGTTTTTAGCATTTTTTTTAAGTTTCTTGGGGTGGCATGAGATTGAGTCCACTTGGTACATTGACCACTATCTGGCCTATTGTACCAGACCCGGTTGATAGATGATTAATGTGGAACAGTCGGTGAAATGAGAATTGGCAGGAGAAACCGAAGTACACGGAGAAAACCTGCCCCAGTACCACATTGTTCACCACAAATCCCATATGACCTGACCTGGGCTCGAACCCGGGCCGCCGCGGTGGGAAGCCGCGCGACTAACCTCCTGAGCTGAGACACGGCCTGTAAAATGAACAGTAAATAAGTGTGGATTTGAAATGAGTCAGCTCGACTTATTTCGGTGTACTAACGCGGTACGAGATACCTTACTCATACTATTCCAGAGCGTTATAAACCTGGTCGATACATCCAACGATTTAGTTCTCAATCAAACCTGATTCCAGACGCCTATACTCATTCATGTTGCGATCATCCTGTAACGCTTTGCAATCGATATAAAAATATATGCCCGATGAGTAACAAAAAGTGACTCACTGCGGTTGGCATTCATTGTCTTAAATGTGAACTTCCTGCATCCAACATGTGGCTCACTGTTTATCTCTCCTCTGTATATTTACAGCTCTGACGGTGCGATACCTCACCAGAAGGTTCATTGGCGAATACCGTTCAAACACAGGTAAGACCACTGTTCATTTCCATACTAGCAAGGTCACCTTCAAGGTACCTCCTCCACAAACAGATGTATCTAATAACACTAAACACAACGCAATCGATTCTAGTGCCACGTCGTTAAAATTAATAGCACTATCAAACATAACAATTAATAATACGATTAAACCCTGTCACATGTTCATGAGGAACTGGTATAGCTCAGTCGGTATAGCAGCTGGCTACAGGCCGGACAGCCGAGGGGTCAGAGTTTGAGTCCTGGTAGGGGCCAGATTTTTTTCCTCTCCAAGTCATCCAGGCCGGTTCTGGCGCCCGAAGAGCCTCTTATTCAGTGGGTACCTGGGCCTCATCCCCCGGGGTAAAGCCACCGAGGCGTGAAGCTAACCACTCACCTCCAAGTAGTCAAGTCAAGAATACGTACGCAGATCTATACATCCACTGCCCAATACGCCTTCACGGCTTAGTGCTTAATTAGTGAAGCAAAGACACAACTTTACCTCTCAACATTCTGTCAGAGGCTCATTAGTGAGACTGTAACCTGAGAGGCTCACCCTTTCTAATAAACCTTTGTACTCATGTTCCTCGCCCTGAGGCATACCTGGTAACTGAAACAGACCCCATTTCCGAAACGTTGTTAGGCTGAACAAATAAGGCTCAGATGAACGGCATTTATATGAATTTATTTGGGTAAGATGCGAGATTCATATGAAATGTTCGTCGAAAACCCTGAATGCAAGAGTCCACCTGGGAGATCTAGCTATATATGGGAGGATACTATTAAAACAGATCTTGAAGAAATCGGGTGTAAGAGTCTAGATTAAATTCAATTGGTAGATGTAGAATTCAATGCCGATTGCTTGTGAACACGGCAATGAACATTCAGTTTCCGTAAAAAGCGTGAAATATCTTTATCAGCTGAGCGATTACTACCTCTTCAAGAAAGTATACGTACAGAGTGAATCTAAATCATTGTCGGAGTTTCCCTTTATAGGATACGGAAACCCCGACAATAATTTAGAATCACTCTGTATATATTACTTAATGTGTTGATAATACAACATTTGGGCCGTTTATATAACACTAGAGAAATGTCTGTAAATATTCTCACGACAATGAATACTGGCAATAATACGTAGAAGACCTGCCGTGTCTATGCGACGGCCGGTAACCCCCCCCCCTTAAGAACGTGACAAAAATATAGGGGAACTGTGTATTTAAGCATCCTCTTGCAAGTCACAATTAAAACGTCTATGTATAACACAGCCCGTCAATAATTGTTCCTTATTATTCCACTTACATTTTTAACACAACACAACATAACCTAGATGGCCATCTTCAGGTGTCTTAATATATTAAAACTGTTACACTGCATTAATATGCGCTAAATCACACCTTGTAGTCCACTTAATTTACTTTAATAAAATAAAATCCATTAAAATTTTCTATTAAAATTCTCTTTACTTTTGTGAAATTCTATTCCACCTCACAAGCGGTGTCGTGAACGACACAAGACAACCAATCTTAATACAATCTGATTAATGTAACTGCTCTCGGGGGAATAAGTTGGGAGATAAGTAATACAACACGAAAGTCGGTATTACTAACAAAGTCTACATCCAATCACAAGACAGAGTTGATCAGAATGTTGCAAAATGGGATTGTCTTCAATGAGGAAGTCGCAAATACAAAAATGAAATGAGGCAGTATCTAGACTATGTGTTGATATTACCATTGTCAGGATGTCCTTCTCAGCAAATGTCGAAAGTAATTGTGTGAGGAGCGGAGCGGGACTTGGAGGTGAGACACACAACATGATGGCCACGGTAGAACGAACATGGAAATGAAACAGATTCTGTTCAAAACGACACAGCCAATTTAATGCTAGAATGGAATGAGGAGTTCTTTCTCGTGCTGATGATAATCTTTTTAAAGCACAGTCATTACTATATCTGCCATATGTTTTAAGAATCAACAACTCCCCGTTTTTATAAGAAGTGAATTTGTGTGTTTTTCGTATGACTGTGAAAACTGGCGGCGATCATGTCCCTATAAGGCATTAAGCAAGTTGGGTTGTTCTGGCAACACCGGAATGTGATTACTGTGAGGTACGAACTCAATTTTTAAACATAATTTAAATGAATTTCATACTGAAAAAGAAGAACGCATATATAAGAATATTCCTGGTTTGAATCAGACCCAATACAATCCATAGATATATTCGAGAGAAACACTGTCACGATTTAGGCGTGTGATTATAGACTGTGTAAGGATTGATGAATGGATTTATTGGATTTAACGGAACTACAACCGCTTTCAATGCTATCGTTAATAACCACACTCTACAAATGACTAAACGCTAAGTCTTCTCCAGCCTCCTGTGCCTTCATTAGTCGTTGCTTGGTAACACCTCTCAACAATGGAGATTCTTCACCTTTGTGCCCATGTCGTTACTGTCCGACGAATATCCTGCAACCGAACTGTCAACTGAATCAGAGCGCCTCTTCTCAGCCTTCCTTGCTGAACCCAACTCTCAACTGACTGGGTTAAAGTCAAAGTCACATTCCGACTGACGGTCAGTCAGTCAACTTGTCTTGGTGTCGAGCCCCCTTATTTATTACTGTTTGACAGTTACGGTCTTGTTTTCATGGGGCGCCCTCTCTGCCGAGGGGAAGGAGTCTGTATTTTGTACATGCTGCTGGTCCTTGCCAGCGCAGTCTTTCTCGGGTCCCTTGGAACTCGCGACCGTATCTTATTGTCTCAGATTTGAGACTTCCTTTTTCGCCGCCTCCTACGACTCGCATGGTCACGGTGGAGGTATTCGACCTCGCCTCCACACAGGGCATGTTCTGAAGAGTCCTTGACTGGGTCACCCCAATTGTCTTCCTTATAACCCCTCTGCTCGTACTGAATAGAAAATACAATTTCCAAAATTAACTCTATTGTTGCATGAGTAATCGTTGCAGCGGGAACGTGTCTACCGATACATTGCCTAGAAATGGGTTCCATTAAACCTTTGTTTATTCGCCTATCTCGCGGTCATTGCATAGCAACTGCTATAAAATTCTGTATTTTTAAATTTAGTCTCGTGATACATATAAACCAATGAACGAAAGGAATGAACATGCTACAAGCTGAAATTTTGCTTTCCATAAGTAATTAAAGACATTAAGAAGGAACTGTTAGTATATACAGAGGAGCATTTATTTTTAAAAAAATTAAAGGATTAACCTACTCGCACCAGGATTTAAACCTGCATTCTGGGTCAAACTGTATAAATCTGGCATCTCATGAACCCATACACGTGCCAAGTTTATCAGTGGACTTGCAAAATGTTAAGCGTTGCCGACAACATTTGCCATGTAGATTATAAATAATTAATAATATTATCAATGAATCATCTCGGTATAAAGATTAGGTTGGTGCGCTTACTTCTTAATCAAAAGATTTCCGGTTCGAAGCTAAATTGTGAAGCAGACTTTCCTAATAATGTTTATGTGGTTTTCTTGAATCATGTAAGACAAATGTCTGGGTGGTAAACTTAAAATAGGTCACAATTTACCCCAGCTTCTTTCCTATCCCACTGGTCATTATGATGTTCCCATTCCTACTGAACATCACACAGCGACTGCATGTATTTGTCAGAGATATATTAAGCTCTGCAAATATGCCTGAGCAGACGGTTGAAAATAAATTACTATCCAAAATCGGTACAGCTAATTTTAATTCGAAAGAAAAACACCACCATAACTAGACAGAAGGGCAGTTTCACAATGCCAATTTAAAGCATCATCATCCTCACCATTTTCATGTTCTCTATCTTCACCGCCATCTTCACTTCAATAATTATAAATCTTCCTGTTCCTGTTTCACGTTCCTATCTCCTCTTTGGGTAGCCAAAATTTAGAATTTGAGGTTCCTCGGAAACGTCGGTTGACTTTCAACGGTCTATACAACGTTATATCCCAGAACCAATATTTCCTCTTCTTCTGAGCGCATACTGGAAGGATTTCTTTTGTATTTTCATATCGCCCGTTCTTTGCAGATGCACAAAACACCACAAGGTAAGGTCAAGTTGTCCCTGTGCTTAATTAAGCACTATGCCACGAAGGCTTATTGGTAAGTGGATGTGTAGATCCACATTTTCTTCGCCTCGGCACTAGTTGTGGGTGAGTGGTCAGCTTCACGATCAGGCCGCTTTAGCCCCGGGGAAAGAGCCCCGGTACCCATTGGATAGGAGATTGGGTGGACCCCAGAGCAGGTTTGGACTATTTGAAGAGAAAAATTTGTATCATACCAGGACACGAACTCCGACCCCTCGATCGTCCAGCCCGTAGCCAGTAGCTATACCGACTACGCTACCACACTCCTCAAAATTCGTTGCTGAGTGCATGCGATACAACACCACGCAAACGAACCGAATTACAAATGACACAACCTTTGTACACAATTGTTTGCATGTTTGCATAACAGACTTCATGTTTCATTACACCACAGAGGCTCAGTCAAAAGTCACTTCTCTATTATAATAACAATTATTGTTATTGTTATTATTATTATTACTATTATTATTATTATTACAAGATTTGAGGTTCTCACAGCGGTGGTTATGAGGAGTTCTGTCTTTTGGTATATAATGACGTGTAGTCCGCTGAAAGCCAAGTGATGTTTCGCAGCAACATGTCTCCTCTAACTTCCTGATATAAGAATAAGTGAAGCAAGAAACAAACGTAGCTTGCTACATGCTGATTTTTTGCGTGGCTTATTCTTTGGCCGTGAAAATGGTGGCAATTCTCCGAAACGTCGGCTGATTTAGAACTGACTACGCGTCGTTATATCCCAGCCGATGCCAATCTTCATTATCATTATTGTTATTCTACGCCAATGTAAACACGGATTGTAAAGCGGCTCTATGACAAAAACAAACAAACTCCATGGCCCGTAGTCCACAAACGGACTACACCGACCGAGCAACCTCCGCTTGTCGGCGAAGTTAGTGCCAACGTTAGT